ACATGTCCCCAGTTCCAGCAAACGGGGTTATTGCATCCTGGGTCTGAGGACCCATGCTACTACTGAAGTAACCAGGTCTCAGCCTTTCTACTGATCTTATGACAATGAGAGCACCACTTTATCCTTCAACTTTTCAACTTTTTGTGTACTTCAAAGTACACAGAAAATAAAGTTTCTTTGCTCCTGCACTATATTTGTCTAAATTGCAAGTCATTCCTATTTACTCTTATTCTGTTCACTTTGTTATATAGGGAAAAGTACTGCTTACAAGTTGTTTATACAGTTTGGACTCTGCTCTTAGTACATTACTCTTTGAAACAGAAATTGTTAAAGCAACACAGCCCCCTAGTGTGGATGTAATCCAAAAGTTTAATTCACATACAATTATGAGGCACTTACTTTTACCAGGGTACTTGTAGTAATAATTACACAGACTTCAACAAAACACCTCTAACTAAACTGACACAAATGAAAAACCCAAAACCACATGCACAGAAAATCTGCATCAGACAATAATCAAGAATGTAGATTTAATAAAAATTTAATAGCTTAGATAGTTTATATTTGGAGCAGTTCAGCTAACATTTTTGAGTGAAGATCTACATGCTTTCAAAAACACAGAATTAAGTCATGGACCTTATTTCTAATTCCTCATGTGAGAAACAACAGCTCACTTTGCAAATTTAAAAAGGTTTATTAAACCTTAACAAAAATATAACAAAAGACTACATAAGGAAAAAGTTGCAGCATTGGGAACTGGCTTTCGTGCATACCACGTGGCCACTTCTTCTTCAAGATGGATGCTCAGTCTTTTATACCCCTGGTGTTGGAACCCAGGACATTCGTCTGGCTGCCCTGGATGGCTCAAGATCCTGGCAGGGGGCTCAGAGACCTTGGCACGGAGTCAAAGACACCTGTGCCTTCAATTTTAACCCATGAGAAAAATTACCAGCTTTGTGTGAGGACTTACAGGCCACAAGAGTTTAAGTAGAATGATAGTTAATTTGTCACAGGGTGAAAAGTAGAATTTTGGGGGTTTAGAATGGGGGTTCAGGAGGCAAGATGGAGGGATTTGGGCATGTCCTGTCCTTCCTCCTGTTTCCTCTTAGCCTCCATCTTCTGCTGTGATTCTGGCACTTTTGGATTGCTTTAGAGTAGAGACAGACTGTCTAACATAGGTGATAGGTATTGGAAAATTATTGTAAATAAAGTACACGTAGCTCTTAGTGTAAAATGTTGACACCACTCCAAGGGCAGTGCAATGTGCCACGAACCAACCTGTTGGACAGACCTGAGTGGGTCAGATAAAGAATGTATTAGATAAGAGGAAATAAACCACCTTGAAAACCAGAGCTGAGGAATCTCGACTTCTTCTTCAGTTGTGGGGTTGCAAAAAAGAGACTTTCTAACACCTCGGGGTCATCTTGACCACAGAGACCTCCCCCACCCTGGGGATTTGCATCAGCCAGCCCTGGCCCCTCCCAAAGTCTGTCAGTCAGCTCTTCTTTGCCATTTAACGGTGGCGACTGCTTTCCTGTTACTTGATTGGAGATAGATGTTGCCATGCCGCACCCCCTAAGCAACAAGCTTTGCCATTCCCAACTGCCCCAGGTAAGGGAGACATGTGCACGCCTTCTTTTTTTTTACCTGTCCTAGACAACCCTGACTGTCTGATGGTCACAATACAGTGGGAGGGAAATGGGAAATATGGGGAGAACAGAGGACATCTAAGCTACAATAACATAACTATACGTCACTAAAACTTTTCTCAATACTCACACAATAGTTACCTTTTAATTATGACAGTCAATCATCTCATTATCCATCTAGAACACCTCATATCTTAAGAACTGGAATAACATGGGTTATCACTTATGTAATATAATCCAGCAGTTGGATTTTCACTACTCATTCTGTTGTGCCAACACAGCAAATTCAACCAGAATGGTGCCCCAGGTGAGAAGCAGATGGGCAGGATTCCATGTGTGAATAAGTTTCCTGATGTGGTTCTGTACATACCCACATTAACACTAGCTGCACAACAGCAGGGAGTGGACGAGGAGACAGCCTGGGAATAAGCAACCACACCAACATGTATGCATACTTCCTCACCAGCATTCATATTCAGCTTAAATGTCTTTCCCAGTACTCTGTTTCTCCCTGCCTTTAAGGCTAGTGTCAACATGTTTAGACTAAACACACTTTTCTAGTTGTGTCTCTTGTCCTGTGCTCCTCTGGCAACCTTAGAAAACTTTATCTGCATCTGCTCCACTCCCAGTGGACAGGCCTTCAATACACTCATGCAGAACTGTACACAGTATTCCAGTGAACTGCTGGAGTCTGGAAACACAAGATGAAGGGCAAGGCTTTAGATTAGACAATTCATGGCTTTGCAGAACCATTAGATACCCAAAAAAAAAAAAAAAAAAAAAAAAAATTCAATTTTGAGATTGACAATAATCAAGGATCCCAGGGATGAAAAGTTATCTTTACGCTCTGTTTAAAAAAATGAGGGTGCAATGAATGAACAAATTAACATGTTCCATTCTCTGTTTATATTTGGGTTGAGGTTTCTTTTCATGTTATTATTGGGCTGTATAATGCAATAAATATGTAATATTTAGTTTTACATTTTTGCGATCTTTCCTTACCTGACTATAGAGTCAGGCTGATTAAGTGATATGTGGCTAGCCCTTCCTACAAACAGTAATTATTCTCCTCCTTTTACATATTCTGTATACACATTTCAATATTAATGCTAAAAAGGGGCCAAGAAACATGGGATTTCCGCTCCTCCCCCACAAAATCAAGTATTTTAACATCTATATTTGACCACAAATAAGGAGAACAAACTTTTTTTTCTCTACATATGTTGCAGATTGACTTAGCAATAAACATGAAGGTTTATACTGCTGGGACTAAATTGCAGGACTTTATAATCAGTCCTTTATAATCAGCTTTTAATTTGGTGCCTATGCTCCTAAAGTTACGCTGTTCTAATGTTTCTGGATCAATTAACCACCTCATCTCCCTTCCTGACTAAAGGGCTTATTTCACAATTAATCTTCAATTATCTTCTGTGAAAAGGGCATATTTACCAGTGTCACTGATCTCATAAAACTAAGTCAGCATTTATAATTTTAAGATAGGCACATAAAATGCCATATAATAACTTAATATGCACTCAGGTGCATAAAGCCTTTCTTCAGTTGATTTTTAGAGTACGCTTTAGCCACAGAAGAAAGGAACTTTAGTGACAGTAACTGCTTTTGTAAACGTTATTTAAAAAATAATAGTGACAACCAAGCAACCATTTACAAACTTTAAAGCTCTGACTCTGTAGGGATCAGCTGGTGAAAAGATATTTTGTCTCACTGCAAGGTTTCCCCAAGGTGGCTGCTGTTTTTGAAACTGCAGACAAGGCCGCAGTAAAGAGCTACCCAGCTGACTCCTTTGGCAAGACTCACAATGCAGGGCTGAACTGCTCGCGTTTCATCCGGCATCTCAATAGTATCCAGTTAGAACAGCAGCATCTTGTGTCATCTACACACATTATCTGACTCTCTGTTTTTTCAAATACACTTAGAAACAACCTGTAGTTATCAGTGATCAAAATTTCATTTACTACAATTAACAATTACACTAATTTCAAAGAGCAAAGAACATATTTTATAACATAACTTAAAATAAAGTCCTTTGGCAAAATACTTTTGAGAGCAAATACTGTATTGAAAAGTGTGTTACAAGGGGAACTAATTATTTTCTGTGGAAATATTTGTGATTTGTCTCTCAAAACTGGCATCTTTAATTCTATTTCTAATTCTCTATGAAATCACCATAACAGCAAAGCCTCCAGAGATAAATACTTTTCACTCTGTGTGGTCATACCTTTTTATTCATCTAGTACACACACAATCAACCCTCCTCTTTTTCAAAAGATCTTTTTCACGCTGACCAACACCCAGTGTTTAATATCTGTTCCCAAAATGGTTGATCAAAACCCAGTAACACTACTTTAACGTTTCATAAATAATTCAATATATTTTACATACAAATTGCCTCTTCTTCCAAATAAAATAATAAATTTATTTTTCAAGGAAAGATCACTGACATATTTAAAAGCGAAAAACAAAACAGCTGTATAATAAATATTTTAAATACACCGGATTTTTTTATCTCTTCAGTGATACAAACCAATGCAAGAACACAGGTAATTTAGCTGATCTGTTTTTAACCTAAGCAACAGTACCAAATCCTAAAAATGAATTAGCACTTGTGCAACCAATCACATTAAATATCTCACATGATGTTTTTTCTTTTATTTTTTGTAAACAGCTTAATTGAATTTTCTTGGAATACTTCTCATCTTTTAATTTCGAATTTAATTAGGCTGTAATTACAAATCTTCTGTCATATGCATAGTAAGCCTGTTTCATCTCTGTCATACTACATGTTAAATTTAGCATTTGCAACTTCTTGCTACAGAGCTTGAAATAATAAGCTTAAACAGTTCAACATGCTATAAAACAAACTTTTAAGGGTGACCTGGGAAACCAGTAGAAAAATAATAAATACCATATACTCCATAAAGTAGTCAGTAGAAGGCAATTGCCTTCTAGTTTATCATTACTTCCACCAGTATTTTTGTGTTGCCAAACAACTGAAATGTGTTGTCTTGCAACATCAGTGATTAAACTTCATACATGTGGCTTCTGGTGATGCAAGAAATGCCCTTGCAAGCAAGATTTGCACTTCCACAGCAGGCAAGGTGAGGTGCTCAGGGCCTTAAGGACCTAAGTACAGCAGGACTGAACTGTATCTTTGAAATCTAAGACAGCTGCACCAGCCTATGACTTTGTAAAGATGGCACATCTAAGTTTTGCCAGCTGTCCTTCTCTGATTATTCTTTAGTTTCTCCAGACTCAAACAGAACACAAGTTCACCAAACACCTCAATGAAATTGACCAAAGACAACACCCACAGATTTTGAGACAGTAAAGTTACTTTTTGAATTACATGTATATATTTTCACTTACAGCCTCCATTTGCTATAAAACAATAGAAAAAATGTTGATGATGTGGACAACACTAGAGTCAGGTGCACTTTACCCAGTCACTGACATCACTCAGTAGAAGTACACTGTATTTTTATCAGCTGTATTTAATGAAGATTTTAGTTTATTATCAAATTTACAATACACTGATATTTTACAATAATGTTGGTTGTAGAGGAAATCAATCAGATTTAAGAAATATACAAGGAGCTTGCTAAATAAAAAGGAAACAGGAAAAAAAGAAAGGGAATAAAGAGAAGGAAGATAAAATGAAAGAATAAAAAGAAAATCATAAACCTTAAAAGAATTCAAGACATAATCTCTGAATAGACAAAGTTTGCAGTAATATTACACAATAGTAGGGGAAATTACATCTGCTACTGTTGCAAAGAATGTAACCAGCTTTTTAAGTAACAACCAAGGAAAATCCATGAATAAAAATACATAATACAATACTTAAGGAAGAGTACAATTGTAAACTTCATACCTTTACAGAAAAAAATTGATGTCTGCATGTGTAAACAAACACACAAATATTTTAATATGCTTTGATTAGCAGCCAGCACTAGTTCTAAAAAAATTAAAATAATTTTATTGTTGTAAGATATTATAGCATGACAATTCATTCTGGAATTAATTTTATTCATTTATTATTATAAAGGAATACCTTAAAAGGGATAAAAACAGAATTTGTATTTTAAAAACTTATAAATAAATTAAATGCCTTTTCTAAAAAAACATACTGAAATTAGGTGGATTTTCCTACATTCAGGGGACATGAAATGACTACATCAATTGAATGTTAAAAGCTCAAGATTGTCAACTGTTTGATTTGCTAAATATTAGGCCAAATATTCAAATCAAAAGTTAGGAAGAAACTAGTTAGGAAGAAACTCTGCTTTCCAGTTAGGAAGAAACTCTGCATTCTTCAGTTATAATATAGAAGATAAGAGTGGAGAAAAGTGACAAAACTACATGCCAGTGTAATAAACTGCCCTGTCTCTTTCAGGCACTTTCTTAACTCTGAAAACAACATGTTCAACTGTTTATTTGAAAGGTAAAAATCCTTTCCTTTAGGAATTCAGATTTTAAAAAACTGAGTACGCTTTTACACAAAGCATCATATTCTAATGAGAATACCTACATTATGATGAGATGGGCCCCAAGAAGGATTAAGCAGTCTCAAATCTCTTCCTACCCTAACCATTCAATGATTCTAAATTTCTACAACAACCTTTCTGGAAGGCACCAGGTACCTGGCACAGCTCTGCATGTGGTGTTACTCCATGAGGAGGTGACCCAAGCACAAGGACACCTCATCTCAGGGAAGACACCTCATCAACCATTGTTTGTGCATGTCATGGAAGCAGCACACTAAAGGCAACAAAACCACTGAACCACAGAGCAGGATATACAGTCCAAATGAGGAATGTCACACCCAACCCAAACATACTGTAGCACTGAAGAGAACAGACATCACCTTCTTCGAAACAAATAGTGAAAATGAAATCTGAACAGTCTCAGGGATGTTTCTTTCCATCACCAGCTTTCATCAGAGCCTTAATAGCTCTGGCTCTCATCTCGAGTTCCAGAAGCTCCAGCTGTTGCGCTGATGGCTGAACATCTTCTAATGGCGGAACAGCTAAGGTTGCTGTTCGGGCAACCTTCGGGCTGGACTCTGCCAACCCCAGAATCTCATTCACACTCTTCTCAATGTCCTTCTGAAGGTCATCTATCTGGCCAGCTCCACTTCTTACAGTGCTCTCTTGCACATCAGGACCATCCTCTTCGTTGCATGGCCCTTCTATGTCACTATCATAAGCATCTGCATTTATGCTGAGGACATCACTATCTTCTCCCTTACCTGTAATACAAACATAACTATCACAGAGTTGCCTAACAGAACTGTTTTTACCTCAACTTACAAAATCACTTCTGCTTAAAGTGTTACTCTGCAAATTAAAAGAGTTATTAATTGCGGCTGAAAGATGGAATGCATTTTTAAAAATATAATTAGAAGAGGAAGCTTAATAAAATAAAAGCAAAGCTCTAACAGAACCTAACTAACTGTTCTCTCAGTTTGGCTACAGCAAGACTTGCTTTTGACACACTGGCCTCAGAAGTTCATACTCCTTTCAACAGCTTTTGTAAATATGGAAATTAAGAGCAGGATTGGTTCCAGCTTAAAATCAATAATGTGTAGTCAGATTATGATAAAGTTACTGATTACACAGACTTTATAATTATATCACTTTTTATTACTTTTGGTAATACCATTTTTACCACTTGCACAGAAAAACAAGGCTTTAGAAAAAAAGTTGTTCTTTTTTTTTAAAACAGTGTTAATGCTTCATGGTAACTGTACGCACTTGGCAATAATATGTGAAAAGTGCCCAAAAACCTTAGGAAGATCTATTTTACTCGGGATTTACAACATTCCTCCCATCCTGAGAGTGTGGAAAAAAAAATCAACACTGACTACTTTGAAAGCTATAAATGCCATTTCTCTACTTAAAAAAAACAAAAGGAGGGAGGAAAATAAGATCAAAACAGATCAAAATTGTGTTATAAACAATATAATATTTTAAAACATTAGGGTTTTGTTGATTCAGCATTGATAATTTTTTTGTATTAAACACAATTCAGTTACTCATTCACAATCACTCTGTATCAGGCTGTGATTGTCACACCATTTAAGTTCAGATTTAAGAATTCTGCACACTCACCCTGAGAATGCACTCACGTACACAGCTAAGATATGTAGCACCTCAAAAACTCCAAACAAAGCTAACAGGAAAGCCAATTCAGTTCATGACAATACAGTTATATGTTAAGACATATAAAAGAAGTTTACAGATCACTTTTCACCTTTTTTTCTAAGCAAGATCAATCACAGTTTTGAAATAATAAAATCTGAAAGCCTAAAAAATAAACAAGGCTACAAAAAATTTTCCTCACAGCAGTAGGAACAAAAACTACTCATGAGATGAACGTACAAGGGTCTTCTTTGATCCTAAATAGTCTTGTGTTGAGAGCTTTGTAACAAGCTGGCTCCTGTATAAGGGCCACAGCCAGATTAATCTGCCCGAGATACAAACAGGAGAAATGTAGAGGATTTTGTAGATAGTTAGCTAGCTAACAAAGATCATGCTGGAAGCAAGAAGGAGACGAGGATAAAAGCGGCAAGGTCACTGTGCCCTTGCCGAAACTTGAGGTTGTGGGAGAAGCTCGTTAGCTAGCATGAATGAAGGAACGATAGTAGAAACCATAACAAGGTGAACACAAGAATGTAAACGTAGACGTAGTTGACTGATAAATGACTAACCAATGATGAGCTCAATTTTTGCAATATGCATTAGCCTTATTAACACTGCTATAAATGTGTGTGCCTATTCAATAAACTTTTGAGACTTGTTGTTCATCATCTGGTGTGCAAGTCTTCCTTCTCCATCAGTCTTGGCCTGTTCCTACCCGTGACAGTAACTTCAAGATTAATATTTCAGTTTCATATGCAGTTTCCCCTTTTTCCTATACCATTTAGTCATCTTTGAACAGTATTTTTTACCTTTACCTTGCAAGCCACAATGTATGTGAAAGATCAGAATGGGAAACAACAGGATTAAGAAACAGTAATTTTTCTTTCTTCACAGTATCAGTCAATGTTTACCTAACATGCTGGTCAACCAAGCAGCATTCCTATGGATCAAAAAATCAGCTGCATTACTGGATCACAGTTCAAAGCCTGAAACTTAACATATGAGCCTGATCATCCTAATTTACTGCCAAAGTTAAACTGCCCTCTATTGAATCTGGCTGGGATTGAGTTAATTTTCTTCACAGCAGAGTGCATGATGCTGATTCTGGATTTGTTTCTGAAGCATGTTGATAACACACCGGTTTGGCTGCTGCTGAAGAGTGCTTGAACAGCCTCAGGGCTTTCTCTGTTTCTCACTCTGACCCCACAGAGAGTAAATTGGGAGGCTGGGAGGGATGCAGAGCCAGGACAGCTGAGCCAAACTGACCTAAGGGATATATTCCACCATACGACACTGGCATCTGCCTTCCCAAGTAACTGTCATGCATGCTGAGTTTCTGCTTTCCAGGAAGTGCCTAAATATCTGGCTGGCAGTGGGACCTTGTAACTAAGTTTCTTATTTTTGCTTTCAATGTAAGCTCTTGCTTCACTTATTGAAGAGTCTTTATATAGGCTCATAAGTTGTCCTCATTTTGTTTTTCTGACTGTCACCTTCATCCCACTGAGGGACAAGCGATTGAAGGGTTGGTATGTGCCTACTGCTGGCTGGGATCAGCCCACCATAGGACTCTTTTGGAGTCAATTGATCACATTAAAAAGGAACAAAATATTAGGTCATTCATGTCTGTCCCAGACTTAGTAAGGATGAGAAGCTGGGCAGAACAACCTTGGGTTCTATTTAGAAACTGGAGCCTCCAAAACTGTGGAATTCAGTGTTCATTCAGGCTTTTTGACCTACAGATGTTTAATGAGCTAACAGGCTTTATTTCCCTCTTTTGCACCTAAGGATCATGGCTGGCATTTCTCATTAACATTTTCATTTTGGTAACTTTTACTTTTTCCTTCATCTACAGTTGCAAAATTCATTTTAGCACATTTAATTCCATTTTTAAATTTTAATTTTATTAATTTTTGCTTATTCTCTCGTTCTATCTTCTTCATCCCACAGCTTCTCAGGCTGCGGAAGGAGAATGACTGGAGTTTCATTTTCTAATCTATACAATATTCCCAAAAGTTCTTAAAAGGTAACATCTTGAGTGAAGCCACTATTATAACCTAAAACAATCATGATGCTCTGGTTGATTAAGTCATAAAAAACCAACAATTATATCACTTGCAGCAACCATCAATTCCCTTTGATAACAAAGAAGCAGAAGAAATCTGCAGAATATCTGTCAGTTCTAAAATTCCTCCAACAGTACAACAAGCAACATTTAAAGGATTATTCAGAGTCATAGCAAATCAAACCTAAAAGTTTTGGTGCTCTTATTATGTATGACTCTTTCGTTTCATATTTAACCCTTCTCACTAACTAATTCAGAAAGGAAATGTTTCAAAAGTCATTCCAAGAGACATCTTTTAGACAACATTCTGAATTGCAAAATAGCAGTTGCAAGAAGCAAATGAAGTTACATCTTCGCAGAAAAGAAATGCAGCTTAGAAGAATTTGCAATATTCTTTGACTGGAAAAGCTATTTCTGATCTTTCTGCTTAGAGCCAGTCAAAATGAAAATAAACTGACTGAGACAGAAACACCTATAGTTCTAGTGCTCCATGCACAAACTAATACTGGCAATTGTTATATGTGCTGATTTAATGACTGGAATAAAACAAATACTACTGCAGACTAAAAATACTGTTTTCTTGTGTAGAAAGTACAAATGTGCACCAATAACTTACGAACCTTTGCATTTTCTATCCTACAAATCACTGTAGTACTTGAATGTCTCACAAGCTGTGTTTTTGCATTTAAGAAGAGAATGTACACAAAACAGAATACTCTCTCTCAATGTATGTTCATTCTCTCTTCACAACAGTGCTGTCACTGGCCAACAACAGAAATCAGTCACTGTCCAACACTGAGAACACAAAATTTCAGCTTTCTCACTACATACCTTGTTTTGATTCCTGACCTTCCAGCTTGCTGTCTTCTCTCAGAGAAGAAGTTGAGTCTATACTGTTGTCCTGTCTGGAAGCAATTAAGAACACATTTTAATCACCATAATTCAAAATTTAACAGAACATTTTTTAAAAACGAAAAAAATTATCAGGTGGTAGGCCAATAAGCCAGCTACAGTAGGAATAAGGGCACAAGGAATACAGAGAGCTAATGTGAGCACTTGAAAATAAACTTTTTTTGTTTTGCCTTGTGATACACAAGGATAAAGTAATTACTTCCACTGCATCCTTGCCTTTTAGAGTAACAATCCTCAATGGGTATAACTGAGGAACCACAGCAGAGCAGTTATAAAAGAAAAGCTCCTCATATTAGGAGCTTTTCTGTAAAACTCAAAATAAATTGTCACATAATTAAATAGTTTGGGAAAACCATAATTTCTGCTGTACTCAAATACTATTTACTGTCTTATTTTGAAAGACAGTAAAAAATTATTTTCATGAAATTATGATCACACCATCACCAACCTCTTCTAAACCAAAATCCTGTTTCACAAAGGGATATCTTTTAAAACGAAACTGTTTACAACTCAGCTATTACAGTGTATTCAGTACTCGCATTTCTCTTTTTCTCCTACTTAAAGATTTCTACCCTTGATGTGTAGGGTTTCAACTCTTTACACAAGTGTGAGGAAGAGACACTTCAGTGAAAGGTTAATGTCCTTCATGTACTTCACACATACTAGTTACAAAAACTGTGGAAATAAGGTAAAACATACAGGAAGGCCACAGGTGGAACAATCCAGAATAACAGGAAGAGTTCAGTTGCCACATCCAGTGAGCATTTTGACAACAGAACTGCCAAATTTCTAAACGAAATGTTAATGTGTCATTGGCTTCACCTGTATTAATATGGAATCAATGCAGCTCTCCTGACCACAGGAACTTAACAACACTATAAAAAGGAAGCAGTATTCTGGTGTCACAGATCTAAATATAATGACTAACAACTTGTTTTTCAGTAAGGGTCTTTAGGGCTTTCCTGAAAGTGAACACATATCTATTTTCCTCATGCTCTACAAGTTGGGTTTTTTCCTATGTGCCCAATGGTTTTATCAGGAGGAGGAACACCATAATATTTCTAGAAATTGTGGTCTGAGATGAGAGGCAGTTATTTTCACTTCTATTTCCTTTTCTGAAGTGGCAAAGGCTACATCAACAGACTCTCCTTTTTTTCTCCCACTTTTTTAAGCCATTGGAACATAAATGTGTAAAGTATCATGCAATAACTCATTAAGGACAATGAACAGGTCAATACATTTGCCTAACAAAGCTCTGGACATGAACACCAGTCTGTTCTGCCAACTTACTGAGCCACATGGCTAAACTAACTCCTTTTCCAAACGAGATGAGAATAATCTAAATACGCCCACACCTGTGTGCCAGCAACTGCAAAGAGGACCAGAGGTCAGAAGAGCCTACAGGACTGTGCTGCCAGAAATCACATAGAATGAAAAATGTACACCTTCTCCAGGATTTTCAGTGTCATGCAGCTGTAAGTAGGTGCTTGTAATTCACCAGCAAACCTCAACTAGTCTAGACAACAAGCAGGATGCAAGGTATCAAACAGACTGTAAAATCAGAGGTGAAATTCCAAAAAATAGACTACGTTCTGCAAATAGGCAAATTGAGGGATGATAATAGAGCATTAGATACCCCAGAGATGAACAGCATCAGCTACTGGGGACAATCACAGGCCTACGCCTGCCATCAGAGGCGCCTGCATGCACAAGGAGGTCTGAGCAACAACAGCAACAAGGATACAAACCTTGTGGGCTTCTGTGGTAACAGACAGGGAGAGACCAGCTTCACTGGATTTCAGACCAGCTACTGGTCAGCAGATGTGGATAGAACTTTTTTTTTAAAAGCAACCCTTAAGAATTTGTTATATTTAGTTACTTAACTCTTGACCAAAATTAGGTTGTGATATACCTGATCATCACTAAGAGCAGAAGCAGCTTTGGCTGCCCCTGTCCCATCCTCTTTCACACACATACTTCACCATTTTAAACTCAGTAGTCATGTTTGCACTGGACAGCAAAGTGCCACTTGAAAAAGCCTGATCTTGCACCAGTAGTATTCCAAGAGTAGATTTCACAACTCTGGTATCACTTGATGTCTGATGAGGAATAGTAATCATCTCCTTGAGAGAAAACAAAGTGACCACTATAGTTCAAACACTGGCCATGAAATTATCCACAACCATTTTAACAGTTATGTAAATAGAAATTACCAACTTTAAAAAAAAAAATCACACATTGAAACTTGTAAAGTTTCTTCCTGATGCCTTGACTTTAACAATAATTACAGCAAACCCATATTCCTTTGGTGACTACCTACTGTCAGCAAAAGAATTTTTAGGACAGGGAAGTACTTTTACAGCATATTTTACTCCCTCAGAATTGACTGGATTGGACTGCATCGTTGGTGAACCTTCTTGACTTTGCTTCGTAGGCAAGCATTTTGCACCGTCTACTGGCCCAACAAATGCATTTTAAGTTCATTGTTCAGTTTGGCTTTGAACTTGTTAGCCTACCTGTTTGCTAGTGAAAAACATTATCTTAATTATCTGTACTGTGGTATACATTTAAGAAAGGGTGGCCTTCAAACAATGGGAGCAGAAGATACATTATTCTAAAATTAAGGGACCTTATACACATTTAATACTCTCTTTTTTCATGCTATGCTGGTAAGTGACAATAGTAATTTAGAGTGTCTCCCTTTTGCCAGCCTTTATATTTATCCCTCAAGATGACAGTTAAGTTCAAAGTTAATCTTCTAACAATAAACTCAGCATTTTTTATTTATTATTTTAAACAGAATATTTTCACAGTATGATCTTTGCAGCAGAAAGAAGCTAACTACAGGTACAATTTGCTGACAACAAATGTTGTAAATTTATATTTACCTTATTTTATTAGAGCATGCATTTCACGTCGGCATGCACCTCACTAGTATAATCCCTAACTGGGCTCACAGAAATGGTTTCCGTACACAATTTGCTACAGGAATTTGTACAGCTCTCAAAGCATCCGGGTTTGAAGATGATTTGGTACCCAGCTCCAGGAGATTATGCAAAGTGGGGTAAAAACACAGCAAAGGTTAGGAAAAGGAGTACTGGCAGAGGAGCAGATGACTAAGGATTGAGACAGTAGCTCTCCAATACTGGTGGCAGAGATACCATGTTTCAGTGGTCACTGGGGTTGGAGACCAGAAGGAAAAGTATCATTCACCTAAATCTCCAGTGAGACTTGAGATAGGGACCTCTTATTTTTGACATTATATACCTTCCTGAATTAAAATTTGCCTTTGCACTTAGTTCCAGGCCGAAAAAACATTTCCAGAAGTCCCAAGGCCTTGAAAGATTCCTGCAAATTTTCTTTCCAAGGATAGTTTTCAATGACAAATGAGAACCAAAATAATTAACAAGCATTAAGTAGCAAGTTAAAAAAACAAAAGGGAAAAAAAGTTCTTACAGAGTCGTGCTTCTCAAGAAAGGTATCACAAAGACAGGTGTTAATCAAATAGTTTAATGAGCTATGCAAAGTCCATCAGTCCTGTTACAGGTGATGTTTAAGGACACCACAAGAACAGAAGGCAGTGAAGCAAATTAGCCAAATGCTGATGTAGCTGTTCAGTGACTCATGTAGCCGGTTGTTACAGTGATTCCAAATGGTGAAATAACCAAATTGTCTTACAGGGCTAAATATCAGATGGTAATTACATGCTTGTGAACAGCCCAGCAGCCAGGAGCACAACACATTATAACACGACAAAACTTTAAACTGCTAACCTTTCCAAAATAAAACAAGCAAAAACTGCACTTTTGACTGCGAAGCAGAAAATGCCTATAAATTCTTGAAACAGCAAATATTAAACTGCAAATTTTCACTCTGTGAAAAAAATAAGCCCAATGTGATTTTGAAGGCCAAAGATTATTTACTCAGACACATATGAACATTGATCATTATAATGGCATTAGAATGCTTGTTCTTTTAATAATGTTTTATTACTACACCATGTAACTTATTTTCACTTGTTCTGCTGGAGGATATTTGAAGAGTCAATTCAGGTAAAAGAAAAGAACTAGTTCAAAAGCATGCTAACACTTCTTGAATAAGATGAAAAATACCTGCTTGGTTTTTGAAAGACATTATCTGGCTCCTGGCAATTAAATCTCTGATGTTTAGTTAGAAACTTTGATACAGTAATTCTCTTGGTTTAACAGTATTCCATTGCAGACAGTAACACAGAAATAGCAATAAAAATCTGAGAATTGCATATTCAAAAACCTATACAGAGTTCACAAATAACAAAATTTATCTATTGCAACAGCATTTTCTTGTTACCGGCAAATATAATCCCTGCTTCTTCAGTTCTTCTGCATGTTTGCTGCAGGATTTCTAATGCTTCACACAGAATAAGCTGGTAATAAAATAGCAATTGTTTTACATGCTAATGTAAGCATGTGAAGCTTTTACATAGTTGAAATTTAGGAAATGCCTCAGGACTTCCAGTAACAGAATTAGGATATGTGCAAAAACCAAAAAAGGAGGATTCCATTTATTATTAGACGCAATACCATCTAAAAGCTTCACATAAAGATCTGAATTTTGCAAACTTCCTGTACCTGGAGAAACTTCCCTCAATCCCTGCTACTTTTAGCTGGTACAGACAGGAAACAGCTCTTTGGAGATTTTAGAGAGTCATTTGCTTATTTCATTTGAAATTTCTCTAGATGTATTGATTCAAGCTTTCTGGATTTCAGTTGATATATGCAGATGGCTAAAGGTTATGTTTGTTGAATTTATTTTTTTCAAAGGACAATAATGAGAGAAACAAAGGGATGTTTCCAATCAGTTAAAACACTTTGATTAGAGTACAACTTGTTACTCACTTTTTCCCTTTCCACATTTACATTTCCATGAAAAAATTAATACAAGTCAGATTTAAAACACATAAGTTACAATAGAATAGAGGAAAAAGAAGTAATTTATATGAAAGCCACAAGCAATTAAGATAATCTAGGAAGAACTAAGAGCAATTATATAAATAGAGAAACTGCCTTTTTTTTATGAAAAATCTTTTCTATTCCCAGGGCAAACAAATTTACCTACTTAAATCCAGATTAGAATTATAATTAATAATTACAAACAATGCTTGCTTGTCTTAGCAAGGCAGTTTTCACTATTTTTTCACATTTGCACCTCAAGCCTCTCTGGTGGCTGACTTGTTGCTGAAACACAGTTTCCTGAAGTTTTGAAAACTTGCATTTATAATTATTTACACACAGGTTATAAAGAAGCTGACCCAAGGCCCAAAGATTAGACTACTTAGCAAAAAGTGCTTGTGACTGTTTACAGTTGTAAAAGTATCATATTGGTCTACTTACTGAGCACTGGACTTCAAGATTAACATAAAACCTTAACTCTCCTCATCTTCTCCTATCCCTTTATTTTTCTATCATCCACACAGCTTTTCTGATGTGTTTTCTTTCTGTTAATGCTAGCACACAGCCAAACTGTGGAGCCAAGGTTCTCAGATAGCACCCACTGATGCAGAATGCTATTTTTAAAAGGCAGAAGAAAATCCCTAATTCCCAAAACTTGCCTGCCCAGTTTGGAGCAGTCTGAAACCCTGAACTATCAGGATACATATACAAGAACAAGGAGCACCTCAACCACTGTTTGTCAAAGGAAGTAATTTGCTCTACAATTATGAACAACATCTCTCAGTTTCTTTTACCTTTTTTTGAACACAATTTCTTCTTGATTTACTGTCAGTTACTGCAACCTTCCTAACTGGCATGGGAAAATAGGTTAAGTGTCCTCAGATATCCACTAGCTAAAAACTGTAAATTCTGATTGTTCTTATTTTGTAGTTTTATTCAATAATTTCCTCTCTTTAGACTTTTACCAGCTCAAATTATTTCCATATAAGAAAGAATTTACACAATCTACTGTATCAAAGTATCATAAATACATGTCTCAGCAGTAGCTTTGAAACAACTTGCAGACACAGAACAACCTTACTGAAATCCAGCAGCACTACTCCTGCCATACATCTTGGAGATAAAGAACATTATCAATCACTTAACAGAGACTACTCCACATAAAGAGAACACTACACTACATCAAGAGACCCAATATTTAATATATTTTGTAGTTTTTAAATTTTACTATCTGCTTTTCTAAACAGCCAGCAGAGGGCAATGTCCAAAATAAGAAAACCAGTTTTTAAAGCAGACTAATGATGACCCCATTCACACAGGCAACAAATAGCACAGAAGGATACACAAACAATGGGCTCCAAATGGAACCTCAGAAGAAACAGTGTCAAAGGGTATTAAAGCTGTATCACAAGGAAAAGAATGAAACATAACTTTGTATTCACTCAATTTTCTAGTATATTTGTATTATCAGAAGTCATCAAAGAAAATTATGTAATAACATCATAGCTTGTTTTGAATCAAAGACCAGGTCTCTGCTAAAGAAAAATACTGACCAGAATGTGAAATTTGAATTAGTGTTACTACCTTTCCCATCCATTTATTCTTATTTAGGAGGTTTAGATAAACTAACCAAACCAGTAGCTAGGAGGTTACTTTAATCTCCCCATCTCTACTGTATTGTCTTGTTCTGTCTCAGAGGTTTATTATGTGTGTCCTGAATTTGTGGACCAGCTGTAACCAGGTCAGTATTGAAAACATAAAAGCTTATTAGTCTTCTAGAAACAAGTTAGCCTCACTCAATTTGATATATTGTGCATGATAACTAGTAACTTTCTTATTCCCTTCACTACTTCCATAGAAACTACCAAACAGATGAACTCCTGACAAAGAAATGGTCTTTAAAAAACAGAGAAGCATTCAAAGAAAAGGTTAAGAAGAGCAGTCTTTTACAAAACTGCCAGAAGCCAAGATAAGAGCAAGAAACCAGAAGCCTCTGTTCTTGAAACTCTGCACTCTGTAGCACTCCTTCTATAGAGTGCATTGAACAGGTGTCAGTGCTGCTTCAACTGGAGCAGGAATGAAAGACCAGAATGAAAAGCTGAAAGAGAAGGGATAAATCTAAGTTGAACTGAAAGCACACTTAAACAATTCACTGACCTAAGTGGGAGGGGTTTACTGCTTCAGCTCACACAAAGACAGTTAAACTAAATCACACCACTTCTGTTGCAGGACACAAGTATGAAAGTTTAATTACCACAACTCAGCTGATAGGTGGTATGCCACTATGAACCCAGTTATGTGCTCAAGACACATTTAATGTCACAAAGTGACAAAGTCATGTCTGTAAGTTTACGGCTTGCTAGTAGTCACAGTTCATTGTCATTCAACTAGAGTAATTAATTAGGGATATAGCAACTGGGTCTTTCAATTATATATTTGATCATTTATCATGAAAAATCTCTGAATTGTTCAGTCTCCTTAAATTAAGTTTAAGTGTTTTGTCTTTTACTCACTGACTGACTGAATCACCTCCAGTCTTGTCTCCTCCATCTGCCTCCTCGTCAGTATCAGAATCAGCTCCAATCTTGCCTAGATATACACAGTTTCAGACATGAAAATTTAGGAAAGTGATATAATTAATACTACATACTTAGGTTTACTCTTAATTATTAACTCTATTGCAATCAGCAGAAGAGGATTTTTCCCAGTTAAAGTAGAAGTTCTAAAATTAGACTTAGTCAAAACCAAAACCATTATTTGTGAGTCTTCTGTTAGCTACACATACATTTACACTGGATTACAAAAAATCTGATTAGCTACTCTGATTAGTACAATACTATGGGTGCTAAAAATACAAAATTAACAGCAAGAGACTCTGGAGCACTCAGACTCAAAGAGTTTTTCTTCATTGACAAGACAGCAGTATGTTTACAAATAAATTCTATATTCCTTAAATATCGAGTGCAAGGTTAATAAAGCCGTGAAAAGCTGGAATGTCATATCCTTAACCAAAGTACATGAACTGTGTGTCTTGGTGGAACTGAGTGATTATGTACACACTAATATATACTTACTACTGTGTGCCTGTATATATACATATATATTTAAGTAGCTAAAAAGAGTGCAAATCCAGTTGAGGCAGACTATTCTCTGGTGTACAGTGGAGTCTTAAAGCTTCATTCATACCTTCAAGTATCTTCAACAGTTTTTTTTCAGATAACAGCTCCAACTGCTCCATGCAAAGTCTTTTGATTTCATCCATGGAACAGTTCTAAGAAGACAGATAAGACAAACCACAAGCTACTAAAAATTTCTGAGAAGAAAGTAATTAAAGATGTAATGCCTAACTGTAATGAAGAATTAACTTGGTTTAAAGCCTCTCCCATATTCTGATCTGCATTGATGCAACTGCTGCAGAAAACCAGGTGTTGCACTTATGACAAAAAATAGCCTATATGTGGGTTTCATCTGAAAAATTAAGCAATACACTATCAGTTACCTGACCTATGGCTTGGAGTCTTTACTGCAACACTGAGCACCAGAAACACCAGACCGTATGTGTGAAGCACGGAACAGCAAACAATTGCAGACCTGGTTATTCCTAGTTTTCCACCACTAGGGGGAAGCTGGGTTATGTAATAATCTTAAGTAAAGATCAGAGGCAACTGTTGAATCCAAGTCCACAAACGGGAGAAAATAATGCTATTGACAACACACTGAGAGAAGTGTATCACAACACAGGAAATAAAGAAAGTATGTAAACTGTGATTAATTTCTCATACTCATACGTTGCCACAGATTTTATCGGTATTCCAGTTACTTTCACATCTCACACCTCTTGGTGACATTTGGGAATTTCACATTTTCAAATGAGCAATGATACCATATACAAGTACCAAAATTAGGACCTGCTAAACAGGTTGTACCATTCATAACAGTCATATTGTAAGTTTGGTTCTACACTATGAAGAAATTTCCCTACAAACTCAGTAATGTCTTTCCTTCCAGCTTCTCAGCCTCTTTTTCTTCTGCCAGAGATGAGAAATGGATGAGTCTGTGTGCAATTTGCCATGTGTTTAAAATGAAGAAGTCCTGTCTCACTTATATTAATAATACAACTCATTAAGATAAAAATTTGAGACAAAAAATTTTCAATTACTAACAAACATTACACAGATAACATTTCACTTGCAGCCTCTTCTTCTGCTAGCCTAATTTATTTTATTACGTCCTATTGTTCACAAGACTCAAAAAGCATATGCTCTAAGCCAGTAAAACTCCAGCTTTAGTCCACAGGAGTTACAGCTTCAGAAGCCATTTATGAAGAATGGGCTTTATTTTCTTATCTCAGACATTGTTTTAATATCATGCAAGAAAATCAGTTGCCACAAGTAGAAATCAGTATTTTATTTACAATTCAGCATATTAATTAGTGAACAACACTACTGTAATTACTCCTCATAACCACAAAAATCCTTTTGCATTTAACTAACCAGTACAGAGGGACAGTCTAAAGCTAAACCTGAAGTTTAGAAACGGCTGAGCAATAGCAAAAGGAGTAACCTGGAATAACAACAGCAAATCTTCCAGACACATAACTAGGAAACTACTTAAGAAAGGTACTTGACTTCAGAGAAACTTCTTTCGTTGAGAAATATACAGGCAGCTGTTGAAATTAAAAGCACTAGCCTTTAAGAAGTAAGTATTCTTTGTTACACAAGCACTCAAGATCATGGTAAGTATATAAACGGTAAGTGTATTTCAGTACCTTTAAAGTATCAGGCAGCATCTTCTGGAGTTTCTTCTCCCCTATGACACAGAAACACTGTTGAAGCATTTCCTTTTTGTCCCCAATGTAGAAACTGACAGGTTTCAGTGACACAGTGAGATCTAATCCTCCTTCTTCTATGTCACTGGGTTGTTCAGCTTCTTCCACTTTTTCTCCAGAGAGTACATTGCATTTTGTTTCCTAAAATCAAGGAAGGCACATTTTCTAGTGAATTAGAGAAGACAAAAAATTACAGCTTCACCTAATTTTCCCTTCATAAATGCAAGGTACATCTTAATGTGGACTTCTCAAGTTCCAGTGTTTCATATTGCAAGGTAACTGCATTACAGAAGTTACATATTTTATTGCTGAAAACATTTTTTGCACTTGGAAAATTTTTTAAAGCTTCAGGAAGTGAAAAGTACTCCTAAATATTAACTGGGAAATATTATCTGCAAATACTTAGCTGGTGCTTACACATGAAAGCATGCTTTAACGAAGAAGAAATCCATCTGATTAGCTGAGCAATTAAATCATAAAGCTCATCATTTACAGCTAGCCTGCTAAGACAGAAATTTGCATACAATCCCCTGTGTGGCAGAGTCTTCACAGAATTAAAATGGGCTTCGTATTAGAAAATACATCCTCCATACATCAGCGGAGGACCTCTAGAATAGAAAAAACTAATTAAAACGAACAAACAAAACCAAAACACAAACAAAAAAACCAAAACCAAACCATTAGCCATAAATATATTTTGTCAGCCTCAGAGTTCACTTAGGCGTGCATATCACAACCCTTTTTTGCACACCAACACATTCTTGAGAAGACTCACAACGCCACAAGTATGAGAACCACGACCGGGGCTACCCGAGCTTGTACGCTACTCCTCTTACACATGGAAAACACAGACCCGGGTTCTCGGGATGCGCGCCAGGGCTCGGCCGGCCCCGCTGATGCCTGTGCTGCCCAGCTTCGCGCCGCCCTCCCTGCCGCCCCCCGGAGCCGCACACCGACCAGCGCAATGCCCCTCAGCCAGCTAGCCCCTGCCGCCGGGACGCGGCACCGGGACGCGCCCGGGAAGGCAGAGGCGGCACGGCACCGGCCAGACCCCGCGACTCCGCCCACGCTACCTCCAGGGCACCGTGGCTGGACTCGGTGCTGCGCCGCTTCCTGTCGCTGCCGTCCGGCCCCGGGGCTCCCTCCGGGCAGCAGGAACGCGAGCGGCGCCGCTTCTTCTCCTTGGAAGACTTCCTGCCCGGCATGGCCGCGCCGCGCTCACCCCTCGCGACGCCACACGAGCGCCGCTTCCGGCGGGACTGGCGGGCAGCGCCCCCTGCCGGCCCCGCGCTGCGGCCTCCGGCGGGGCCGCGCCCGAGATGAATGGCCTGGGACAGCGAGGCCAGAGTAAAACTGCAGCTACTGTGGGCACGCCGCCTGTTTACACAAATATCGGTGATCTAGGGCCTAGAAAACACATCTTATGAGGAGCTAGGATTGTTTAGTCTGCAGAAAAGGAGGCCCCACTGCTCTGTAAAACTCCCTGAAAGGCCGGTGTAGTGAGGTGGGGCTCAGTCTCTCCTGCCGTGCCTGCAGTGAGAGGACAAAAGGAAATTGACTTAATCTGAGACATGGGAGATTCAGGTTAGATATTACCAAAAAAAAAAAAAAAAAATCACTGTCAGAGTGGTTAGGCATTGGAATACATGTCCCTGAGGGTGGAGTCACCATCCCTGGAGGTGTTCAAGACATGTTGGGATCTGAGGCTTGGTGGTATGCTTTAATGGTTCAATGGTTACAGCGATAATGCTGGGTGGATGATAGATTTGATGATTACTTAAAGTTCTTTTCCAACACTGATGATTCTATGATGATTCCACCCTTCTATCCTCTGTAACTACTGTTTAATTTTGATCTTTCCCCTGACTTTCAACCTGTTTCAATGCTGCAAGGACCTGCAAACTCCTCCCTTGGCAGCTGTTTGGCATTCCCAATAACTTTGGAACAATAGCTTGTTCCATGATACTTAATGAGTACTGGGGAAATTTTTTCATGGGATGCAGACAATTAGGAATGGCAGCAGACAAGCCTGTTTAAGGCAGGTGGCTGCTTTGTGCAATTCACTAAGACACTGATCAGCTTTCTGCCATCAACAAGATTAGTTACAGAGGGAACTCAGTTTATTATCCTAAAAAGGTTAGTCAAAATTAAAGACTAGGGTAGACAAATGTCCATAATTATGCAGAGAGTATTTGTATTAAAAATCTCCTTTACTGTGCAAAGATATGCAATATTTTTCTTCTTTATTTAACACAATGGAATTTCTTTGTCTGCTTTCTTTCCCAGATTCAAACATGTTGCCATCCAGTTTGTCCATATTGGGTTGGATCTTCAAATGGGAGGTATTGGCCCATTTAGGCAGAGGTCTGCTGAATGCAAGCTCTACAAAACCAGTGGAATCAAAACTGCTGTGGGCAGATGATACATATTTGCATGGGCTGACACTGTTTTCAAAAGGGTTAGAATTTACTAAGTACCATCAATTTACTAAATACCATTTTTCAGCAAGCGTGAGTCCCTGCAGAGGCAGATAGTATCAGAGTTAATCCTGATTAGTCTGTTGTTAAGATTACCTGGATTGTGGGAATAGATGTTCATATTTATCATCAGCAAATAACAGCTTGAGCATACTCTGAAGGTGGCAGAGATAATGTAATATGGAAACACTGAGGAGGGGTCTATGTTTGGGATGAAAATGGGATCCCTTGAGCAACTATAAGGAAAATAAAAAGTTTAGCAGTGTATGCTTAGACATGCAAACTGTGGTTTAAATGAATGCAGAATACAGGAGCTAACTGGGCTGTTGATAAAAAGATTTGTAACAATATTCAGATTTATGTGCTCACAGGCTTCAAATTCTGCTGTCAAAAAGGGGTAGTTCATACTTTAAACTGTTTTTTAATGTGTTTTGTATGCACCAACAGTGGTGTCATGAACACTGCAAATTTATTTTTGCAACTAGGAAGTCTAGAAACAAAATTTCCTGCCAAATTTGAAACCTCAGTCTCTACAGTGAATAAGCATCAAAAATCCACTGGAAAAGGACATCTGAAAACACCCAGATACTCTTCAGGTTCTCAACAGCTGCATAGGGAATCTTGTTGGCAATCATTTAATTTCAGTCTATTTAGTACACATTTTGAAAAGATGGGAAACATCTACTGTTCATAGATTTTGGAATTGTAGATAGTTTAAGGAGAAAGAGACAAAAAGAGGCAAGTGATCACAGTATATAGTAATGCATCACATTCAGCTAAGAAGCTTAACTAAGTATTTTTAAGCAAAATACTTCACACGATTTAAACCAGCAGGCTATAACATTTCCTAAAGCATTTGGAACTGCCTCTGTAGTAGAGATCTATGGTAAGACTCCTGTAGATTATTATAGCATATTACATTATAAAAAAGTCACTGCATCCAATTATTTATGAATCTACAGCTCAGTGTACAGTACTTTTAATTAAATAGGTTTGCAGACTAAAGTTAGTCTATTTCTGGCTGTAGCCTGAACACGCCTGAGTTAACACTGCTTAATTAGGTCCTGATATGAGCAAGGTGCATCACAACAAGAGACATTAAAGAAACCTTGTGATAGATTAGACTGGTTTGTGTTACTGTAGTCTTTTTCTATCTTGGAAAGTACAGCAGTTGGTGCTGACCTAAATCCACTTTGACTCCTTATTTAGTTCCTTAGGAAGGCATTTTATACTTGTCCTGAGTTTTAGCCCAAGTAGATCCCAAGTTCTTCCACTTCGTAAAACCTGAGCCATGCCTAACAGCAATGCTTTAATGTGAGATGCTACTGTGTGCTGCCAGCTATTCTTTCTAAAATCTTCCTATCTCAAAAAAAAAAAGATGCCAAAAGAATTGCATCATCTACTCAGAGACTTTGAATTCTTAGCAGAAGACACAGCTTCTCTTCAAGGGGATCTTGAAATCTCTCAAACATACTTCAATTATTCCCCTGATAAAAGAAATCAGGAGCCCTTAGCACACAGATCAACTTATTCAAAATGTACTACTGTAGATAGTAAGCCAGCGCCCAGTTTTGTGCCAGGCACATACTTTCAATGGCCTCTGGTCTCAAAATTTTTCTCACAATTTTTTGATTGTACCCTGTGGACCTAATGTCTGGCACATTTTCCACTGTATCTAACATTCTTTCACTGCAACAGGAATTTCATCCTGACGACATTCCTAAGGCATTCTTCTTATTGGTGATCCCAGCAGCAGATTGTGCAATACCCTTACATACATTTATGTGTTTATTCATGTGGATGCTGACATGAACCACAATGGAGCTCTAAACAGTGCCATTTAAAAGCAAAAGCAATTCCCCATTCCCTGTTTCCTCAGATGATGCTACATCATGGAAGGGTTGGTATCACAGCACCCTGTAGCAGCAGGTATCTTCCCTCCAAACAATCCCGGCCTGTTCCGTTTATCTTGCCTAACACTTAGTACTGCAGTCCCCAGAAGGATTTTTTGCTGTGCCTCATCATTCCTCTGCAAGTTTAAATGAATTTTGTAATATCTTTTAATATACCATCTCTTGGGAGTTGCCAGAGTATGTTTATTAATATAAACATTAATTTTTGGTCTGGGAAATTCATAACAGTTTTCACGTAAAGAGATAATCTGTAACAGAGCAATCCCACAATAAAACAAAAATATTAAGACAAGTATAATTTCTTAAAATAGCACAGGTACAAACATAGTTTAAGAGCACAACATTAGAAAGCTGAAGCTTTAAGAACAATTGTATAATAGGCAACCAAAATTCAACAGACAGGCACGTAATTTCACAGACATGTTTCCTAAAGGTAGTTTCTTAGATGCTTTCCCAGGAAGGTGTTCATCTATCAAGCACTGTAAATCACAAACAACTTGTTGGACTGCCTCACATATGAACCTCCAATAGATCAAATCAGAAAGTGTGTGACTCAGACCATGATCAGGAGTGTGAGGGTATTTATCTGGAAATCCATCCGAAGTGTAACTGTACAAGTGTGTAACTAAATATCTGAGAGACAAAGTTTGCTGGAAGCAGTGTAGTAACTCAGTTCAGGTAGCTGGATCAAAAGAAAAGTTAAGAGCTCTTGGTCACAAAATTCTTCACATCTAACGTAGGCAGTTATCATGGGGTGTGGAGCTCATGTGCCAGAAGTTTGCCCCTTTTTTTTCCTGTTTTCCATTCTATTAGTCTAATGAAAAATTCAATTTAAACAGAGACCCTCTTTAGTTCATCTTAATTCTAAACCCAATTGTAACACTTGCAGTAGTAGAAAATAACATTTCCCTTTTCAGCTGAACATCTTAGATCTGCTGGAATAAGCCGCAAAGTATTATTTTCCCTTTCAACAGTCACCACAGTATTGAAGTTAAAGCTACTTCATAAAACTTGACTTCAAATTTGTGCAGTTTACAACAGAGTATTTCAGTTGTGAAGGGACCTGACCACTTTTGGACAAAAGTTAGAACTGCTTGTCAAGGACATTGTCCAAATGCCTCAAACACTGACAGGCAGGGAACACCAACCACCTTTAGGAAGCTTCTTTGAGCTTCTGCTACTCAATCTCTTCTCTGGATGTAGACTGCTCTCCCACTCTTCAAGATGACCTATTTTAATCATCTAGATTTTACAACATGGAGTAAGACACCTGCTATTAACTAGTGGGTTTTAACTGTCCTTAAAAAAGTCAAGTTGAAGGCTTCTCGAGAAGTTCATGCCATTTTACAAGCTGCAAGACATGAATTTATGAGTGAAGCACAACATCCATATGGCAGGTAGATGTTCTACCCCTCAAAAAGTCATCTACCCTAGGGTTAAAAGACATAAGAGCCACAAAAGTTAAGTTTCAAAAGGAAGTGGAGAAAGCTGATGAAAATTTTCCTTACCAGGCTATTTGACAAGGGTTAATATTAAGTAAGGTTAACTAATAAGGTTGTGAAATGCACTGCTGAACTTGAGATCTCAGGGCCCCTCATCCACTGAAAAAAACCTCACAGTCAAGAAACAGATGAATCATGCTGGAACACAGAATGCGACTGGGGTGGGTGTCAGAGTTGACAGTCACTAAATAACAGCCATTTCCTACCTTTCTGTCTGGATGACCTGTAAGTACTGATACGGTTTGACTTCTTGGTGACCTATTTTTATCTGAGCAATACCCGGACTCCTTGTGAAGTTTCTATGCACTGATCACTTCAGAAAAGCAGTCCAATGACAAACAGTTAAAAAAGTTTTATTTGCTCTGCGTCTTGCAACAAGTCAAGTGTAATTAATCCACAGTATTTTCCCATGTATAGTCTGTCATAAAATATGAATAAAAGCATCTTTTTTTCTGCATACACTGTCTTCCAAGTGCTAAGAAAAAATATTACAACAGATTAAGAACAAACCTACAGCATTCTTTTACTTTAGCTGGTTCTGATACAGAGGCATACTTTTTTATTTGAGAATCAACTCCCAGAGACTTAGCTAATTGCACAGCATTTGTATCATCACTGATTAGTGTCCCAAGGGCCACAAGCAGTCTAAAAATGGCTTCAAGATCTTGAACAACTTCCATAACTGTGCTGATTACTGATAAACATTGAGCTTTGCCCTCAACGTTGTTGACTTTATGTAAACATACAGCATAGTTCAATGTCAGTGTGGCCAGTGCAATGTGGATGTTCTTATTATTGCCTGATTTTGTTTCTATTGCTTGTGTCATTATTTCATCCCTCTGTTCCATCATGAGCTTCTGGCCTGCATGGCTGACAAAACAATTGCAAAGCGCTCTAAGTGCCAACAGCTGGTTTGCTTGTTTGCCTTTAGGATTCAGAAATTTAAGGAGAAGGATGATAAATTGTACGTGCTCCTTTTCACTGCAGAAGTTTTCATTCACAGTGGGATGCCTGACAGACAATCTAAGAATGTCTAGAGCTGGAAAGACAATATCTAAGAAATAAAACAAAACAAAATTTAGTATTAATACTGCATTATGTAAAAATTTATCAGTGAGTTTCTTTCAGATGCAGACCTTCTTAGCCCTGCAGGTTTGGGAACAGACAGTAACAGTTTCAAGCATAAGTAAAGCATAAATTGTTTCACATTCATAAAGACAAATACTGACAAATCCATTCTAGTAACACTTCAATTATCATTTAAAAAAATCCATAATCCTTAATTTTGTATTAATATATCACTTTATAGAAAAATCTTAAAATCTTTTCTAAAATCTCTAATTGATAACACTGAAGGTAAGCACAAGATATGGTAACTAATCCAAAAAAAGTCTCTGAAAGCTGCAAGTTCAGTGACTGAACACCCCTACACAGACAGCATCGTCCTTTGTCCTCATTCCATAACTTACAGTACAGTATAGCTACAAAACTGCTTACAGGAAAAGAAAATAAAAAATACGGTCTCAACTGAAGAGCTGGAAATCATTGTAAGGAAACTAAACTGAAAGCTTGTAATGTCCCTCTTTTCCCAAATTCTGAACACATATGTCTCCTTGTATCTACTACTGGTAGTGCTTAGAACCAAATCAAAGCTGAACCTGCCCAACTACTTACAGAGGATTTTCCTGCAGATATGCAGAATCTTCTGAATTAATGCTTTGTACAATACAAAGAGTCTGGAAGTTATGACATTGGCCATCACCAGCTCCTTGTTATGCAAAACACAGTTTAAGTGATATTATAAAATGAGCATGAATTTTTAATATTGAAATGTTTTTCCTGTTAGTAAATCTTTAATTGCAATTTTTAAAAAGCAGATAATTTTAACCGTTCTTGGATATTTGTATATGCAGGCAATTGTTTCTTCCAGAATATGCTGTAACAACCAAAACATATTCCAATCCATCAGTGCTTGACAATATTATTAAATGTAATTATATCAACTCCACTTGCATTCCTTCAGCATGTAATTTCACACAGGCAGTTTTGATCATATAGCATAGCATCAGTAACTCATTCTCTACCATATTAAACAGGAGCTACTTTTCATTTTTTTCCCCATAATTTATCTGCATAATTTCATCTCTCATTTCAAGCTTAGGATGCCAAGTTGGCACTTCCTTACTCTATTTCCTGACAAGTCTCAAACCTTTTTGAGGATGGCCCTGCTAATGAAATAATCGTAACTGATTTTTATACCAAGTTTCCTCTTTGTGTTTATTATGGTGCCAACAAAACTTGACAACCAATTACCAAATTTGCCCCTGAAGCTGATCACTGCTGTCAGCACCTCTTATTCATCATCTCTTTTCTACTTGGGCTATCAAGTCTTTGGGACAGACTCAGTGTAACATACAGCATGACAAGACTTTTCATTCACAATGAAGTACTGATGAGATGACTCATAAAACAATTTTAAGAGTTTACCTTCTGGCCAGTTAACTGCTCTCCATAAAGTCTGAAGTTGCTGTGCCGTAGGTGTTTCTGTAGAGGTGTTGCACGTTGCAGACAGTAACTTTTCTAGGATTATCAAGTCATCTTCAGTAAGCTTATGTTCTTCAGCTGCACTGCCATTAAGTTCCTTTAATTTGCCTGTAATACCAAAAGAAGAGGCACAACTTTCCCAAAACAGAACTTCAGAAGTCGAGATCTCAATTGAAATGCTACAAAAGCACTTTAGAAACAAGTAACAACTATTGCAATTGAGTGATTTTTGGGGGGTCATATTTTTAAACATGTTTTCCAATTTGATAATTTCTCATTTCAAGATTTCAATTATCACAATGATTGCTACTATTAATTCCACTTTAGCAAAGCAACACAGATTCAGAATTTGTAGAAAAAATTTAGAAAGTGCGTACATAAAGATACAAATTCAGAAAAGTCATAAGAACAGTACAGCTTTCATATCTAAAATATTTATTTTTGCTCTTTTATTAAGCAGTAAAACTTAAAATAAAAAAATAAAGGTACTGTATGGTCTTAGTGTCATCACAATTTTTTTATTTTTACTTTGATCATGTGATCACGTTTTGCTTATGACATGTGCTATATTCAATCTTCAGTATGATTTAAAAAGTATTAGATTAATGTAATGGATTTAGCATTAAGGAAATGTTTTTTTTTTTTTTTTTAATTCAGTTAGTCAAGTTACTTCAAAAACATTAGAAAAAAATCCTTGATATTAAAACACTGACCCAGTATCTGCGTAGGATTGGCCTGGTCAAAGGTTACAGCATCCTTCTTTGGAAAATAAATATTTTCAACTTTAGCTGCAGCTGACTGGTAGGCACCCATTCCTATAGAAGGGCAATACAGAGAAATCAACAGTGTATACCAAGGTGTCTGATATAGAATGACGCCCTAGCAGTAAACTGGTGGACATTACTCAGAAAAATATCTCTTGAAAAAAACCCTGAATGTCTATGCAAATAGCTGTCATTCCTTACATTTTTTTTTACATTCAAGGGTTAAAACTGAAAGCAATACCTTCACAAACTGTTCCCCCCTCATGTAAAAGTTTACAAGTAGAAATTATTAACAATCATTTCTTAATTATATTAACTAAATACACAGTCACTTATAGCAATGGCTATTGCAGTTAACACATGAAAATGGCAAAGATCTTTTTAGGAAAAATATCCCTCTTGCCCCTGAAATCTTGTATTCTCATTATTTTCATAATGGAAGTGCTTACATATTAGAAGATTTGCAGACATGATCAACTTATGGCACATGCAATAATAGCCTGAAATGTCTTTTTTTAAGGAGCAATAAAAAGCTTTTATCATCACCCATAACGATTTCTTAAACTCATAGGTCATTTAGTAGCTGATGTTGTATAATACCCATTAACTATATATCAGTTTCTCTGATAAACAACGTAACTACTAGGAGACCAATAATCCTCTCATTATTATTACACATTTTAAAGCTTGTGTGCATGATTCCTGCATACAAAAGAAGGCTCTGTTATCCCTATTTTATTATTAATTTCAGAGTACAAGCAGTTTCAATCTGTTATTTTTAATAAAGTCTGAATTTGCATCAATGCAGAATTCATGTCAGAGTTAAAAAACAAATTAACAATCAGGAATGCTTTTCACTGGCAGACATTGTCTCTTACCCGTAAATGGATCAACCCCGCCCACTGGAGGTACTGCATTTGATGCTGAACCAGGAACATAGCGACCAGCACCTAACAAAGATGTCACGTTTTTAAACACCACCACCAATAAAGAGATAACATACACCTGTATTTAGTTACTACTTTTTAATCAAGACTATTAAAAGGGATTTTTCTGCACTAAAGGAATTACTAAGTAGTGTTCAACACTTCTTTAAGGATTAAATCTATGCCTGTGCAAGGATGTTGGTGATGACAGCATTCACAAGCTAAGTCAGCCCACAGCTGGGAGACACTGTGTCATCCCACTGTGAGACACCATGGAATCTCTGGCACTCACAGGTGAAGAGGGCTTCAGCACAGCAGATACCTTATCCATGACAAGTTCCAGCAGGAGGGCACACTGCCCTGGCCTTGACTCTCTTTGTGTCTGAGCCATGAGTGGTCTCTCCTGTGGAAGTTGGACTCACTTGCACTGAGGCCTCAGTGAGGCCTCCATCTGCAGAGACCACAGAGCCGCAAAAGCCATGGAGAAGAAACAGCTGGACACAAAGACTGTCAAGATTGGGCAGACTGAAGGCTGTAAGTTTTTGTAACAGCACAAAGGCTTCTGCTCTAGCTGTGGATCTGCAACTGCAGAGCAGGCAGTGAGCACCCTGGCACTGGTGTGGACAAACACCCAGCAGTGATCTGTTAAGAGCCAGCTGGGACTGCACCTCATGTCTGCAAAAACAGGAAAGGCACGCAGGAGTGATGGGAAGGGAGGGTAGGGAGGCACCTGCCTATGCATATGGCCTAGCAACTTGGGAAGTATGTGCCTGCTAAGGCAAGGATTCAGGATGCCACAGAGACACTGCCAAGTCTTGCCTGGCCTTCAGACTGTTACCCTGCTACTCTTCTACATGGCAATCAATGGTTTTGCCAAGGAGGTCTTGGAGGATCTCAAGATCAGAGAGCTCTGAGAACAAGGATGAAGAGTGCAGGGCATTTCTTTGCTACTCTGAACAAAGCAGAAATGCTTAAATACAAATGGATTCATCAGAGGGTCCACAACTCACTGCATGGCTGGTTTTGTAGATGAGATTTTGGCATCAAGTGATTACAGTAACCTCTTTGAGGAGCAAGAGCTCCTAATCAGGGATGAGAGAAGTCTGCCAATACAGGGCGAACTGGGAATGGAACTGTGAATGTTTTTGCAAACAAGATTACTAAATTAGTGAGGAGGACTTTACAACAGCTATACCAGTGAGGATCAGAATCTAAAAAATGGGGTGGATGGTACCAATAAAGATCATGTTAAAAAACCAAGTAAAAATGAAAATAGGAAACTACCTCTATGAATATACCTAATCATGTGTGGTTTGTGCATATGAAGTCTGGCAAAACAAAAGGTTTAGGTCCTTACTTTTCTGCTGTAGTGGACAGTGACATGAGGCAGATGCAACAGCAGAGGGCTTACCTCTACTGAACAGATCTCAGTATGCTTTGCAGTGGCAGAGACCACCTTACCAGGCTGTTCCACACTACTGCCCCAAACAGTGAACTGCAAGAAACAGCTGCCTGCGGCTAAACATGGTGTGCAACAGAACATGACTGAAATGTGTATCTTAAGTGCTAGCCAGACAGATAAGAATTTTACATTACCTGTAAATGGGTCTGCCCCTGGTATTGTACTCGATCCAGATGAAGAGCCTGGAACATAACGTCCAGCACCTAGTCAAAGAGTGAGAAAAGCCATGACTATTAAACACACCTTGATGCTATTAAAATCCAGAGAGGGGCAACAAAGCTGGTGAAAGGTTTGGAGTGCCTATCCTATGAGGAGCTGCTGAGGGACCTGGGGTTCTTTAGCCTGGAGAAGGGTCAAGGGACACTTTACCTCACTCTACAACTCCCTGAAAGGAGGCTGTAGCCAGCTGGGGATTGGCCTCTTCTCCCAGGCAACCAGCAACAGAAGGAGAGGGCACAGCCTTAAACTGCACCAGGGGAGGTTTAGGTCAGACATTAAGAAGAATTTCTTCACAAAAAGGGTGATTAGATACTGTGAGCTGACCAGGGAGGTGGTGGAGGTGTTTAAAGGAAGACTGAATGTGTTGCACTTAGTACCATGGTTTAGTTGACATGGTGTTCATTCATAGGTTACAGTCGATCTCAGAGGACTTTTCCAACCTAATTACTTCTGTGACAACTACAGCTTTCAGAGTTACATATAAACCAAAAAGCCTGTGTTCCCATTTCCAGTCCCTTGCAAGAAGATTTAGCTCAATTATTTTAATGCTATTTTCTTCTTAAATTCATCTTTGTGAAATTAATTGAATTAGTTTGTTTTGTAAATGTGATAAGCAGGAAGTAATTGATTAACATGGTTTAGCTTATCAGTAATCAACTAGTTCTAGTTCAATTTCCTGCCTGAAAAAGGTCATTTACGTATTTCACTCAGTTTTGATTAATTCTCTGGCTAAATTTTTTTTGTATTTTATTAACTGCCTTAACAGCATCTGGCAGCTCTTGTACTAAAACTGGACCTTTCTTTAACTGGAAAAAAAAGACTAGACAGAAAAATACAACTGGCTTGATTAGAATTTTGCTGAATATTTTTTGGTTTGTGGGGTATTTTTTCAGAACTATCTGTGCTTTTGCCCTCAATCATTTAAGGATATGAAAGTATCACTCAGCAGAAAAGGACCTGGGAAAGTGCTGATTATCATCTGCCGGACCATGACCCAGGAGTGTGCCTATGTGGCCAAGAAGGACAATAGCATCTTGGTTTTTATCCCAGCAGGACCAGGGCAGTGACTGTCCCTCTGTACTTGGCCCTGGTGAGGCCACACCTCAAATCCTGTGATCAGTTCTGGGCCCCTCAAGACAACAAACACATTGAAGTAATGCAGGCAAGTCCAGAAAAGGGCAATGGAGCTGGCAGAGTCTGGAGCAAAGGTCTTATGAGAAGCAGCTGAAGGAACTGGTGCTATTTAAGTGGTGCAGGTGGATCTTATTGCTCTCTACTCTCTAGTATTTGAAAGGTATGAAGGTGGGGTCAGTTTCTGCTCCCAGTAACAGGATGCAAAGAAGTGGTCTCAAGCTGCACCAGGAGACATTTAGATATTTGGAAAGAGTTCTATACTGGAAGGGTGGTCAGGCATTAGAATAGCCTGCCCACCAAAGTGTCTGAATCATCATCTCTGAAGCATCCAAAGAATTATGTGGATATGGGGATATGATTTAGGGGTGAACATGGAAGTGGTCAGTTAATGGCTGAATTCAATATTCTTAGAGGTCTTTTCCAATCTTAATAATTCTATGATTCTATGAAAGTGAAATGGATTGAAACCTAATGGAATAACCATGGCCAGAGGATGGTGATCAGTGCAACAACATTTACTGGAAGCCTGCCACTGGTGGTGTGCCCCAGGAATCAGTACTGCATCCAGTCCTCCTCCTCATCTTCACTAATGATGGTATGGAAGATCAGTCAGAGTGCATCCTCAGCAAGCGTGTGGAAGACACAAAACTCGGAGGAATATCTAATGTCATCACTTAAGTTTAAAATATTTACCTGTAAATGGATCTGAAAATTGATTACTTGTACTCAACAGTGTTTGCCCCTTAGTGTTGTCCATAATAAACTTGGCCACCTGATCCAGAAACATAGGATTTAGATCATTCTTTTGCAGGAAGTTGTATGCAGTCAGCCAAGGATCATCAGTGATGTTATATGGCAGTTTGTAGGAAGGCCCATTTTCATTTACATCAATGGTGAAAACATAGTCATATTCCTTTAAGTAGAATAAAAACAAAAACACATCAGAAGTCTTGAAGCACTTTCTACATAACGATTAATTATGTATTACGTGCAGTCTAACAGTGGCCCAGAACTAAGCCTAAAAACTTAAAACACTGCTACTTACAGAACATATCAGCAAAACCCTCCTGAGAGACTGCAAGCAAACATTTGCTGATTTAGGGTAAATCTCAGGGCTTTCTCTGACTGAGAGATCCCGAGGTGTGTTAAAAAAGTCTCTTTTCCCCAACCCAGCTGCCTGGGAAGAAATCAGAAGCCTTTGGCTGTCATTCCCAAGGTTATTATTTTTCATCTAAAATATTTTCTGTCTGGTCTGCCGAGGTCTGTTCTGCAGGTCGGTCTGAGGTACACTCCTGCCCACGGGGCTGGTGTTGTCTTTTATACTACAAACTACGTATTCGATATTTACAGTTATTTTCCAATACCTATCATCTATGTTAAGACAGTGACTTTCTACTCTAAACCAATCCCAAAATGCTAGCATCACCAAGAAGATGGAGGCTAGGAAGAAGAAGGAAGAAGGACAGGACAATGCCCAGGTCCCTCCATCTTGTCCCTAGACCCCCACAGTGAAATTCTTCAAAATTCCACCTTTCACCCTGTGACAACTACTGTTAGGCTACTTAAACTTTTGTGACTTGTAATCCTTTATATAAGGTTGGTAATTTGCTCCATGGGTCGAACTCAAAGCCACAGGGGTCTTTGGCTTCCTGCCAGGTTCTCTGAACCCCTGCCAGGGCATTGAGCCATCCAGGGCATCCAGAGGGATGGTAAACACTAAACATTACTTAGCAACAGCCAAAACATCAGTGTGTTCTTACACTTTTCCTATACTATATCCAAAACACACAGCATTGTATCAGCTGCTAAGAAGAATACGAACTCTGTCTCAGCCAAAATCATGACAGAGGTAAACCTGCATTTTCCAGAATTCTCTGCTCAAGAAGAGCAAAGTAAAACAATGTATCGTTAGTAAAACAATGTATCTTTGTGTACCAATATGTTACAAAATAAATATACATCAGGTCATTCTCATGGATATCTCTGGCTCCCTCCAAAGATATGGAGCAATCAGATACCTCAAGAAATTTGAGTCTTATAATGACTTCTAATGCTAACAAACGATTTCCTAATGTTTCTTTAAAAACTGTGACAGAGTAAAAATCAGTATTTTGGAGGCATTTCTTCTGTGGTGGACCCTGACAAGCTTTTCTGTGTATATTTCAGTAAAGGAATAATTTTCCAGCTTACATGTCTTCAGGTCAGCTTAACTGTCTTTAGGTTCAATAGCTACTATAGAGAAGTCGTACAGAAAGTCTGGTACCTAATATTTGCATTATAAATTATATAGTTACCTATAATTGCATTATAAATTATAAAGTTCATTTCCCTTGGGAAGGATATTAAAACTAATTTCTCAAAGTATTAACAATACATACAGTAGAACTTGACAATTTCTCTACTAATGGTTTACCTTTCTCCAAAATAATTTGTGTCCATTGGCTTGCTTATTTTACAAAATGTGTTTGTATGTAATAAAGTAAACTGTACTTACTTACACTTCTACCTCTGAGATCAAAGGAAACAAAAAAGTTCCTGTTTTCTAATACAGGTATTTTTCAAATACCTGTTTTCTAACTTATATTTTATCTGAACAAAGACCAGTTACTTAGGAAAGAATGAAACAAATTGAAGTTTGCATATACCTTTCCTTCAAATAAAACTTTTCCAGATGTTTGTTGTGTGGCTCCAGAAGAACCAACAACATCACCAATCTTTATCCATCTTCCTTCACTAACACTCCATTGATATGCTTCTACTTTCTCATTATCTTTAATAAGCCGTGTCTGTCCATCTCTTGTTCCTGTAGGCAGGAGTTCAAACAATTTCAAGGATATTATTTATTTTAGGAGAGAAAAATATTCAAATGGTGCTCAGCATTAAAAATTTAAAAATAGTTCAACAACACTTGAAGCAATAGTGCAGGAATTAAGTAGATACATGGTTTAACCCCAGCTGGCAACTAAGCACCACATAGACACAGTCACTGGCCTCATGGTTGGGGTGCAGGAAAGAATCAGATGAACAGAAGTGAAAAATCTGGTGATTGAGATACAGTTAAAAAGGTAAATCAAAACCCACATGCACAAGCAAAGCAAAACAAGGAATTCGTACACCACTTCCCATGCACAGGCAGGCGTTCAGCTGTCTCCAGAGGAACAAGGCTCCATCAGGCTAAACAGCTCCTCAGAAAGACAAACACCAACATTCCAAACATCCCCCCCGCCTCGCTTCCTTCTTCCCCCTAGTGTACATGCTGAATGGTATGGGACATCTCTTGGGTCAGTTGGGGTCAGCTATCCCAGCTGTGTCCCCTCCCAGCTCCCGCACAACACCCCCAGCCTCCTCACTGGTGGGACGGATGAGGAGCAGCAAAGGCCTTGGCTCTGTGTTATCCCTGCACATCAGTACTACTATGTAACTACTATGTAACTACTATGGAGAAAATCAACTCTATCCCAGCAAAACCCAGACAAAATACTTCATCTCACAACGAGAATATCAGCAATCGTAATGAGCATTGTACAATTATGGTAATGGTATCTGCCAGCAGACCAAGAGGCCAAACCAATACTTAGTTCAAGTACTTTAGAAGTTTATCAGCTTGTCAGTGAGATGCCAATTAAGAAAAGTCATATTCTCCCATAGTCTGACAAGATGCAAAGTTTCATATGGATCTAAGATCTATGCCACTTCCTGATCACAGCCAAGGGCCGAAGTCAGCGGTTACTTCAACTTGGGAAAAGTATTTGTCTGTTTAAGAATAATGTTTACTACTGCTTCTACTGTATTCTCAAGTACCTACGAAGTGTGAACTGAGTCCATCAGGACCATCTTTCAAGACAAAAGCTAAAGCAGAAAATTTGCATTTCTACTTTTATTAAGAAAAAACCTTCACATTCAGTACGCCTTTTACAAATTACCTGTTTCACATACTCTTGGTACAGGTGGCAGAACAGATAGAAAACATCTCAAACATACTGTAACATCAATTCCACCTTTTTCTAAATTATCTCATAGGAGGATAATAAAACCCCAAAACCAAAAAACCTTGAGTCCTGTTTCCAAAAGAATCTGTGAAAGGATACCAGAGCAAAATTAAGCCATTTCCTTCAGTAACCCTATCAAAAAGGATTAAAGCTTTAAGTATGGAAACCATCAGAAGCTTCAATACCTCCAACCAAGATTTGCAGGCACCTCTAACATGACAGAAGTACAGTAACTTACCAGAATCCTTAAGGTGTTCTCTTCCAGGAAGGTCATCAGCACTAATATCTCCTAAATCACCAGTTTTAGGGTCAATAGATGCTTGGGCAAGCTCATTTTCAAAAGCCTGAATCTCCTCAGCACTTGCTGTACGTTCCAAGGACTCTGTAAACACCCTTATAATTCCATCACTGAACAGAGACAAAACATTCAAATAGAAATGCTATTTTAAATATCACAATGACTGCATTCATTCTAATGGTGACTTCTATGTCACAAGAAATCATCACTATTTCCAACAACCCCTCACAATTATTTTTATGAAAGGAATTCACTCTCATACTAAAACCATGCAGAGAAGGAATCAAGCAGGTAACCCTGATTTCCAAATAATTTTAAAATCAAGATACAATATTCTTATCAAAAGGGTTTTTTATACCATGCTTACTAAATTTATTCTCAAGTCTATTTATGATTTAGCACATTTCCAAAGAACTCACTCTATCTCTATGAATGACATAAAAAAACTACTTCTTGCATGAAGTGTAGTACATGTTTAAATTTAACACACATACACTCTGATGGCTTTACTTTTAAATATAAATGAAACTGACATCCAAAATTATTCTGGTAATTTCTTCAAGGAGTGTTACATTTGGATCTACAAATATATTGGAAGTAAAACTTGGGATACCTTGCACCAACTACAATGTCACCATTGTCTAAGACACAGCAGCACCATACAGACTGAGCTGGGAGTCTGATTGTTTGAGCACATTCCCCTTGTTTCCAGATTCTAAGAGATCTATCCTCTCCAGTTGTTACAAAACCTGAAAAAAATAAAAAGATATAAAAAACTATTGAAGCATATTTTTAGCATACTGTGATAATGGATGCCATTCTGAAACTCGGTATCTAAAAATCCCAACAGTAAAAGAATCTTCCTGCAATTTAGTACTTCTCTCAATTACAAGTAGAGAGAAAAAAGAAAACCACTGTTCTCTTGTCTTCTCAAAAAAACCAAAGCGCATAAACTGCAGATTAAGCACCTAGACAGTGAATAAAACTGTGCCCAAGACAAAAAAGATCCCTTCATCCTTTAAAGGACTTGAGCAACTTTATACTCATCATAGTTTCATCTTGCACTATAGTTGCATAAGTTCACCTTTGTTTCAAACTGAGTTTTGGAAGGTAAACCTGCTTTATCAGGAAACACGCATAAAGCATTTTCAAAAGCCTACAAACTCCTCAATGAGGAATTTTAAGGCACAGGAGGTCTACAATATATGCATTAAACCATATACATGCACTTGACCTGTTGAAAAAATGTGCAAATGTCCCATACACCACACAAAGGTCACTGACTTGAAATTTCTTCTGCAAATGGCTTAACAGTTAGTTCTGAACCTCTAAATCTCTAACTGTGAAAACAAATGTAATCAAGCCTCATAACATGAAATTCTTAACCTAAACTACATATAATGCACATTGTGGAAGTATCTAAATTGACATTATTTCAAACTGGCATGCCACACATTACTATTTTACTACTCTGCAACAGCACTGAAATACAGCTGGCAGCTAAGACAATAGTTTTGCCTACTGTTCCATCTAAGTTTTACTTAAACCTTCAATTAGCCCTAACCCATGACCTTTTATTCCACATACTGCCAGAGCACTTTTGACAGCAGTGCAACTTGGAGTCAATCTCAATATTTTTTCCATCTGTTTACACTAGGTGTAAGAAAAAAATTAAATGCTACTGGTGTTCTTTAGTTGTAGCGGTGGCACAGAACATCAGAATACACACCCTACCATTTCATTTTGAAGAATGTTGCATAACAGTTGGGAAGGAATCTTACCTTTACAATGAGGGAAGACAGAAATGCTGTATATATAATTTGTATGTCCATAATACACCTGCAGACACTCGCCAGTGATCTGCCATCTTCGAACACTAGCGTCATTAGCACAGGAAAGGAACTCCATTTCACTGAGAATAGCTAAACCTCTCACACAATCTTCATGTCCTTTACAAAAGGAAGAGAAAATTTTAATGCAGTTATTGTCTCCATTAGCCAGTATACCACTTCTGTACAGCTCACATATAAATCCAGGCAACAAATCTTTGTGGGTACAGTTCGAAAAAAAATTAATTGCTCTCAATTCTCTGAAAAATATCTTATTTTTTTAGAAGTCACATGGCTTCTGGGCATGTAACTACTTCAATACTTTAAAAATTCTGCCTAAATATTGTTCAGTTTACCCATGCTTTTGTAAGATTTTAATGTTTGCTCACTTTTGACAAGAACACATCGCACCAATGAAATTATCAACTGCAGCAACATTTACCGGTGAATGTTCTTTCACATCTGCCTGCCTTCCACAGTTTTATAGTTTTGTCAGCTGAACCAGTCAACATTAATCCCTGTTCGGGAAGTATCTTCACTGCCCATATTGCAGCTGTGTGACCCTGCAAAAAAACTCAACATTGTTAAGACTTGTCAGAATCAAATTCAGAGTACTTATTTCATATTCATGCAGAGGAACTTCATACCTGTAATGTCATCATACATCTGTCATTCAACCAGACTTTTGCTGTTGTATCCCATGATCCACTTAATAATGTGCCGAATTTCCCAGATGAAAGGCTGCAAACTGGAATGAACATTAAGTCAGAACTGACAAGTACCTTGCACTGCCACAAATCTTATGCCAGCAATTTCAAGAGGTTCTTTTAAGAGGATTTATTTGGTATTAGTAGTATATTTAGTGTTGAGGAGTTTAGAGAAGAAGTAAGTGAATCATAGTTGCATTGCAACCCAGAAAGAAGCTGCTTAAAAATTCTCTTAATTTTAGGTTTAAAAAATTGAAATATTTTTGCCATTTATATTTTTAAATTTCTCTTAGTTACAGAGCTCCTCTTTTGGACTAGAATATGATGACAAACAGGTGAGAACTAGTCAAGACACATAATTAATGCAAATGCGTATTTTTTAAGAGAAATAAAAGTTTTGTCTACAGGTATTAATTTATGTCTTCAAGAAGTTATTTCATACGAAAAATACTTAGCTCACTTTCTTGGAGGGCAAAATACTACCACCAAGAAACTGTGGTGAGATTCAAAGATTTAGTAGAAAGGTAATCTGCAAATGCTCCAGTAACACAATGTAGCTCTGTATTTAAAGCACCAATTAATATTAAATACCCATCTAAGTAACAAAATGGGCAGAGGAAGTTTATTTAGGAAGCTCATTTTTTTTCCACTTGTATCAATTTTGACAAAAAAAATTAATACGTGAAGAACTAACTGCTTCTCAAAAGTGCAATTCTTGACTAAAGGTTGATCATTCTGTGAATTCCCAGGAATTCAGAGACAGTAAAAGTTTAAACATTCATCATGATAAACTTGGATGTCCTTGCAATGAATGGTCGCTGCATGAATTAAGATTATAAAATCCTATTTGCAGAGGACATAATTAAACATTTTGCTACATTATATACCGAATAAATCAAAACTGAGTTTTACAAATTTGATTTAATTTCCTCTCTAACACATCATGTTAACCTTCATGTAAAAAACTCCAAAGTACAATTATTACATACCTGTGTTTTTATGACCCTTAAGGACGTAAAGAGGAGCTGGGTTGTCAGTTGTGAAAATGCAAATATTATGATCATTGCCACCAGTTGCAATCAGCCCACGAGGATAGACGTCACTTGGAGGTATGATGCACACACAAGATACAAAATTTGTGTGGCCACTCATACAATGCATCTCAGTAAAACCCCTGTTAAGACTTAAACATAGATGATTATCAGTTTAGAATCATGACATTAGAAACAGTACTTTATTTGAGTAAAATAATGACAGTTCTTTAATTAATAACAATGTTTGCCTTGTACTGAATAACTACTACGGATGGTCTAGAAAGAACCAATTTTAAGACAAAAATTACATGCCAGAATTCCTCCCCGTACACAACACTGCTCTCCACTTATTTTTCAATGCAGTGGTAGGCCTGAAAGGACTTTTGTTTTTTCTTCCTCATTGGCAAACACTATGCCAAATTTGATGAGACAGAGTTACAGTTTGTCTACACGGCATCTTTCTTTGTCTGAAAACTCAAATGTATATCCAAGTACATGCTAAAGTAAGAGCACATGAATGTAGTTTACTGCCAGCTAAGTGTATTCACTGGCTCATCATTAGGAGCACTATAGATGAATAAAAGTTAAACAGACTCAACCAGCACTCTCATTTCTTCACACTGAGCCAATCTCAGTAGTTACAGCACTAACTGAAAAAAGCTACTTATTCCCATAGAATAAATACACAGGTTGTGGTGCTGTGTGCTAGTTTTGCTGTCCTGTCTTTGCTCCCCCACCCTCAAAAACATAAGCTACCATATGATATCATACTGCTATCCTTCAAACCCTAAAGCTTGGCAAGCTTGAAATATGTAAGGAAATCACGATACTCTTCTAAATTCTAAAACAGCTCCCCTTAAGGAACATAGAACAAATCAGAGAAGGCAACGTCTCTTCTTGGAAAAGCTGAACTGCAACAGCACACAGCAGTGTGTGTGCTCACCCACTGAGCCCTGACTACTGTAGTCCCTGAGCCTTCAAAGCAGAGAAGGACAATCAATATCAACATTGTAAGTTGATACAAGCAACTCACAAAGTTCTCAAAAACTGTGGGTTAGAATTAGCATTCCTTTCCTCCTGCAAACTTCTGTACAATTTAGCAAGCTCTCTCTCTTGCGATGAGAGACTTAATAAGACCTACTTAATAAGATTAGTTTTTCTTCACCTCAGTTGCAGAGCTCCAGAGATCAATACGAAGGCACACGTAAGCACTCTGCAAATTTGCCAATTATTTCTATTTCACATGAGGCCAATGGGAAGAATATCCATGCCTAGCAACTTCAGAATACAGATCACAACACAGAACCACAGTCCGGGGAGGAGGTACATGCTGTAGCTTCCAGCAACAGCCCACATCTCCCACACACATTGCTTAGAAGTGTATCTGGTCTGCTTCTGGTCAAGGTAATATGCTGAAAAATTCACCTTGTGAATTCAGCTACACAAATTCAGTAGGAGACAGCCCCGTGCAACATGAATATCAGAAAAATTAATCTGGGGGTACAGTTTTTTTGTTCATATTCCATTTTATGTTTAAAGAAGCTTGCTTAGCAAGGGTAAGAAAGGATGGGGCTTTTTTGAACATTCAAAACACACTGCCTCACTGTCAAAATAGCAGCACTTACTTAGCAGGATTACTTGGGCACTGAACGCCATGAGGTAGAAACAACATTATTAATACCACCTAGAAAAAAAAAATGCCTAGGAATACTGGCGTCGTTACCATGCCCAAAGGCACGCAGAAGTTAGGCTTGCTCAGCCTGGAAAAGAGAAAATTGCATGGAGACCTCACAGCAACCTTCCAGTATCTCAAGGGGGCCCACAGGGCCCCTACACAGAAGCTGTGGATACCCCACCCTCGAAAGTGCTCAAGGCCAGCATGGATAGGGCTCTGAGCAAACTGTTCTGGTGAAAAGCGTCCCTGCCCGCCGTTGAGGGACTGGGATTAGATGATCTTGAGGGTCCCTTCTAAACCCCTAACAGGATTCTCTGCAACTGACAAAGCCAACCACGAACGCCGCCTGCGAGCAGACTCCCGCCGCCCGCCAGCTCCCTCGGACCGACCGATTCTGCCGGCAGCCCCTGAGGAGAGCTCAGTAGCACAGACGAACTCGGCAGGGCACGGGCGGAGCCCCTGTGGCGCCACCTCCACGCTCTCCGCGGCGGCCCAGCACTCACCCAGAGTCAGGGGCCCAGAGCCGCGCGGTTCTGTCCCGCGAGACGGACACGAAACTGCCTTCCGGAAAGAGGCCACGAGTGAGGCCCCGCACGTCCTGCCCGTGCCCCAGCAGGGAGCAGCGCAGCCGGAACGTACTGCCCTCACCCGCCATGGCGGCAGCGCCGGCCTGACACAGCACGGAACGCGCCGCCGCCGGAAGTCGTTCCGGAAGCGTCGTCACAGGGCGCTCCGCCGGGCCAACGCGAGGCTTCTTATCCCGGCAAGCACCGCGCTTCACGCAGGTTGTTGTTTTGCCAGGGCCTCGCCAGGGCCTCTGGGAGTCGTAGTCTTCGGGAGACGCGGCAGGCTGGAGCGAGATTTGTGGGCATCGCGATGTCCACGCGGTGGTTGCTGCGATACGGCGGCGCTGCCCGCGGGCTGATGGCGGCTGAGCGGCGCGGTGAGGGGACGGGACGGGGCCCTCCCGGGCGGTCGCGGCGCTGGTTCTGCGCTGCTCTGCGGCTGGGATGGGCGCCTGCCGGGATAGCGAAAGTTGCTGGGGTTTATCAGGGATTGCTGTAGTGATGGGTGGTGGATTACGGACCCTCTGTAGATAACCGGAATGAGTATTTGCACCAGTTGCTCGCTTCCAGTTTGTTTCATTAAAGACTTGCATTCAGATATTGAAGCGATAAATGCCACAAGAATAAGCTGAGAGCTCACAAAACACTGAAAAGAGACTGCTGCCCCAGCTTACTCGTGGACATTAATTAAGTGGTCCTTGCCGAGCCCTGCCGCTCTCTCGTGTCATCCAGTAAGCAAGTACTTTGCAGATTACAAAAAAAAAAAAAAAACAAAACCAACCCCCCATAACATTCTAATAAGAGCTATGCTTTAAAGAGTCGGTATCCCATAGTTTTAAGGGTCTTGTGCAAATCAAAGGATGGTTTCTATTGTTACCAGAGAGAAGTTAAAAAGGAAACGAGTATGGCCAGCGGTAACAGACCTCCCACAGCTCGTTCTGCTTCAAGAGCAGGAATAGGACTGACCTCTTCATCAAGGCCTGCCTCTTCATCAAGGACTCCGTCAGCAGGCAGAATTGGAACAGCGGTATGTTAGAAAATATTAAAAATATATCATTAATTTTTATGTATTTAGAGTCTTGTATCTTGTTTTTTGGGGTTTTTTTTTTCCTTTAGTACCAAGACCAGAGTGAGGAGAAGTTCTTTTTTTAAGAAGATTTTAAGATTTCAGTTTTGTATAAAGTTTTGCTAGCCTTGTCTGGAGGGGATCAGGGACATCCTGCATCCAGAGTTCACCTGGGAGACCTAAATATCGTTAATGTTGCAGATAGATGGAACAATGAACAGCTGCTCAAAAGCAATCCCTTACCTTCTACAGGAGATATTAATTTGAAGCTTTGCTTCCCTGAAGAGATGCAAATGCTATAAGATTCCTACAGAAAGAGTGTAGAGACTAATAAGTTTTTAACTGCTTTGGCAATTGCTTAAGGATAACAAAGTAATAATTCAGACTTGGTAGATTTTTCATTTGTGTTTTTTTTTTTTTTTGATAGATGCCTCTTAGTACAGCAAGACCTGGCTCTCGTGGTGGTTCTTTAACTCCTGGAGGAGTTTTATCATCTCAGATTAAAGTTGCAGACCGTCCAGTGACTCAACAGGGATTAAGTGGAATAAAAACTGCAATGAAAGGTATTTTATACTGAAATCAGCCCTCAAGATGTCTGCAAACATTTTGAAAGAATATTTAGGTTTTTAAAGGAAAGCTTTTCATCATTGTGTAAATTGCAGAGTGAAGAGCTGTGATTAAAAAGAGGAGCAAAAAGAAAGAGAAAATTAAAGCATTCCTCTTTCTGTCATTAGTCTTGGTAGCCAAAGAAGATAAGCATTTTTTTTATAACTGAGCTCTCTTTAAAAATAATTCAAAAGACTAGAACAAGGTTGTTGTGTCTTCTTCCATCACTACAGAATACTTAAAATACTCTATTGCGTAGTAACTATTTGTATATTTGTACTAGTAATGTTCATCTTCACAGCAGTCCAAAAATGTCTTATTTCTTAAAATTACATAATAACCATATAGGGGCACTAAAAGATATTAGTTGTACATTTTTTAATGTAAATTTTGCAGATTGTTTTCCTAATTTACAGTTCATCTGAATTAGGGGTTTTTAAACAAAATATCATATAGTTTTCTTTTATCAGGTCCTCAGAGACAAATAATGGATAAAACATACTACCTTGGCGTTCTGAGGTATGTCTTAACAACATACATTTGATGGTCTGTTCCTTTTCAGACACAGAGTTGAAGCTTGACAATAGCATGCAATAAGTGGTGTTCACTTATAATGAACTTTTATAGGAGTGCTGCTGTAAAAGTGAAGGTTATTTTGCGTGTAGATATTCTGTAGGAAGAAAGGAAGTAGGTTCATTTGAGCTTTTGTTGTTAGGCTTGCTAAGTTAAATGTTCTCTCATGGCATTAATAAGAGGGAGGGTCAGTGATTCTGAGCTTCCACCTCCAGTGTTTATTACATCTGATAGCTGCATTTGTAACAGGTAGCATTGCAAACAAAACATTTTTTATTGTTCCATTTCAGATGGTTTGCTTGGATTATACATTCAGCAAGCAATGACAAAGGCAAGACCTTGTGCAAACTACTGCATGCAGGATTTTATCAGTTGCTCATATTACACTTTTGAATAATTAGTCCTAAAAGATGTAATTTTAAGTATGGATGATACCCACATTCTGTGAAATTACACTTTATTTTTTTTTCTTTCCACATCTGTTTTACCAGCAGAGACAAAAAGCTAATTAAAACATTTCATTTCATACCAAGGTTTTCCAGCAACTACTTAGGACTTTATCTGATACAACCATTTTGCTTTTTTCTATACCTACCTCTTCTTAGAAATGCTGAGTTGAAACAAAGTGCAGTGTGAGAGAAACTAATTGCAAATCCCCTATCATAAAATATATTTACAGTTCTAGATGTGCTTTAGTTGCACATACAAATGTTAATGATTCTTTTTTCTTTATTTTTTTCAGAAGTAAAACAAATGAACTTACAACAGAAATTAATAATCTGCAGGAAGAAGTAGAAATGTACAAGCAAGAGAAATCTGTTTATTTGTCCTATGAAAAACGGTGAGATCTATTGCAGCTAATGCAGTTCTAACTTTCTGAGTCACAAGACCATTTCAAGTATTGGGCAGACTTCAAGGAATCAGTGAATAGTTACTATTTTCATTATTTTATTTTTCCATATACAAATATTTCCATTTGAAATTTGACTTTTTTGTTTCATATTTAGGGCAGAGGCTTTAGCTGGTGAAATCAAAGATTTTCAAGGTCAACTAGCAGACTACAACATGGTATGCTGCTGTCAAATTTTGATACTGAATGCTCCCATTTATTCTCTTGCTGATTTTGTACTGCTTTTGCTTTATTCTGAATCATTTTTTGACATTTCTGTGTGAAAATATACTGGTTAATACTGCCTTTATTCAGTTATTGGAAAGGAAAGAGATGGAAACAGAGGAAAACAAAAAGTGTACTATATATTATGAGAAGCATCTGCATATGGATTTAAGAAATTGGTGCTGTGTAATATTTCAGTGCTTAGAACAGCTATATATAATGATGATTATTTCTAAAAATGACATGTAATCTATTCAGATTCCCAAATCATTTTTTCGCCAATTGCAATAACCAAAATTTGCTGTGTTTTCATTAACCCTCTGTCTGATTTTTTTTTTTTTTTTAAAGAAAAAGGGAGCAGTAACAGTTTGAAATTCTGTCTTGTTTCAGGTTGTGGATATACTTAACACCAGTACAGATATGGCAGAAGTGATCCGTGATTACAGTATGGTAAGAATTAAGATATTTGCTATGGTTTTACAGTGAAATGATGTGTTACTTTCTTGGTGCTTTGATGTGTGACATATCTAAAAAAACATAGCACTGACTTAAAGCTTAGCCATTTTTTTCCAGTTATTCATAATGTTGGCAACATGTTAGCAGTAAGTCAGTTGCCTGAAGTCTTGTGTTAACAGCCCCATGATAGTTTTCTGTGATTTACATTTGAAAAGGGTGTTATCCCAACCCAAATTATGAGTGTTAAATTATCTTTTTTTTTTTTTTTTTTTGGCAGCACACAACACTAGTATTAGGGAGGCAGATTTAAGCAGACTGTGCTGCCTTGTAAAGCTGCCTGGTCTTCTGGACATTAAGTTCTTTTTTGTCCTCAGCCTTTTAAGTGTCTCCAGTGTAAAAAATAATAAATAGGTCTCTGACATAGCCACCACAAAATCAAAGATTTTTGTTCATGTTTTGCTTTCCTTATTTATTTTCTAATACAGCCTCTAAGTGTTAAGGCATGAATGGCATTATGTGTATTTTATTTCTTATGATCAATTCATCCATAAACAATATAAGCCAGTTTCAGTAAAAGTTGTTTTGGTAACTTGAAAGATGACCTGAATATTTCTTGGTCAAAACAACTTTTTTTTTTGCTTGCATATGATTGAATAATAAAGATACAGTGTCTGTGTCATAAAGAGAAGAATGCTTTTCATCCCATCTGTGTATTTTTAAGCAGTATCATAGTGTTTCAGGAATAGATCCCACAGAAATAGTAAGTGAATCAATTTCTCTGGAAGTACTTAAAAGATGTATACATGTTGTTGTGGTTTAATGGTGGACTTGTCAGTGCTGGTTAAGGGTTGGACTTGATGATCCTAAGAAGTGTTTTCCAACCTATATGATTCCATGATTTATTACAAACTTGATAGTATTTAATTTTTTTTTTTTTAAGTTAAAGGTTCAGAATGACCGAGACACTCAGAATATAGATAAAATTTTCACAGAAAGACAAGCGTAAGTACATTAAGTCTATGTTTTTCATTTTTGAATAACTCAACTTCTCATAACTTAGCTTGGGAAAATTGAGATGTTACCTGTTACTCTAAGAGTGCAATGCATATCATGAGTGATACCTGAACAATTTCAAGATGATATGCCAGGTTGTAGTTGGAGTTCCTAACATTAAACTCTGGTTATTCTTCTGAACATAATTACACTGCCATCCAGGAAGAGTTAGGTGGCAGTAGAGACTCCTGTCTTTTTGCAGTCTGCTGTCAAGTTTTGGGAGTTTTGTTGCAGAGTAGCGGAGTGAAAAAAGCAAGCAGGAGTGGGAGCTAGACCT